CATTATGTCCCATTTGTTTAGTTTTGTTTTTATTTCTATTTCTCTAGGAGGTGGGTCAAAAAAGATCTTGCTGTGATTTATGTCAAAGAGTGTTCTTCCTAGGGGCTTCCCTGGTGGTACAGTGGTTAAGAATCTGCCTGCCAATGCAAGGGACATGGGTTCAGGTCCGGGAAGATCCCACATGCCGCAGAGCAATGAAGCCAGTGCACCACAACTACTGAGCCTGTGCTCTAGAACCTGTGAGCCACAACTACTGAACCCACACGCAACAACTACTGAAGGCTGCACACCTAGTGCCCATGCTTTGCAACAAGAGAAGCCACCGCAATGAGAAGCCCGCACACCACAACGAAGAGTAGCCCCTGCTCGCCGCAACTAGAGAAAGCCCGCACACAGCAACAAAGACCCAACACAACCCAAACTAAAAGTAAATAAATTTATTTTTTTTTAAAAGTGTTCTTAGGTTTTCCTCTAAGAGTTTCATAGTGTCTGGTCTTACATTTAGGTCTTTAATCCATTTTGAGTTTATTTTTGTGTATGGTGTTAGGAAGTGTTCTAATTTCATTCTTTTACATGTAGTTGTCTAGCTTTCCCAGCACCACTTATCGAAGGGACTGTCATTTCTCCATTGTATATCCTTGCCTCCTTTGTCATAGATTAGTTGACCATAGGTGTGTGGGTTTATCTCTGGGCGTTCTATCCTGTTCCATTGATCTATATTTCTGTTTTTGTGCCAGTACCATATTTTCTTGATTACTGTAGCTCTGTAGTATAATCTGAAGTCAGGGAGTCTGATTCCTGCAGCTCCGTTTTTTTCCATCAAGATTGCTTTGGCTATTCAGGGTCTTTTGTGTCTCCATACAAAATTTTAAGATTTTTTATTCTAGCTCTGTAAAAAATGCCATTGGTAATTTGATAGGGATTGCATTGAATCTGTAGATTGCTTTGGGTAGTATAGTCATTTTCACAATATTGATTCTTCCAATTCAAGAATATGATATGTCTTTCCATCTGTTTGTGTCATCTTTGCTTTCTTTCATCAGTGTCTTATAGTTTTCTGGGTACAGGTCTTTTAACTCCTTAGGTAGGTTTATTCCTAGGTATTTTATTCTTTTTGTTGCAATGGTGAATGGGATTGTTTCCTTAATTTCTCTTTCTGATCTTTCGTTGTTAGTGTATAGGGATGCAAGTGTTTTCTGTGCATTAATTTTGTATCCTGAAACTTTACCACATTCATTGATTAGCTATAGTACTTTTCTGGTGGCATCTTTAGGATTATCTATGTATAGTATTATGTCATCTGCAAACAGTGACAGTTTTGCTTCTTCTTTTCCAATTTGTATTCCTTTTATTTCTTTTTCTTCTCTGATTTCCATGGCTAGGACTTCCAAAACTATGTTGTATAACAGTGGTGAGAGTGGACATCCTTGATTTTAGAGGAAATGCTTTCACTTTTTCACCATTGAGAATGATGTTTGCTGTGGGTTTGTCATATATGGCCTTTATTATGGTGAGGTAGGTTCCCTCTATGCCCACTTTCTGAGGGTTTTTATCATAAATGGGTGTTGAATTTTGTTGAAAGCTTTTTCTGTATCTATTGAGATGATCGTATGGTTTTTATTCTTCAATTTGTTAATATGGTGTTTCACATTGATTGATTTATGTATATTGAAGAATCCTTGCATCCCTGGGATAAATCCCACTTGATCATGGTGTATGATCCTTTTAATGTGTTACTGGATTCTGTTTACTAGCATTTTGTTGAGTATTTTTGCATCTATATTCATCAGTGATATTGGTCTGTAATTTTCTATTTTTGTAGTATCTTTGTCTGGTTTTTGTATCAGGGTGATGGTGGCCTCATAGAATGAGTTTGGGAGTGTTCATTCCTCTGCAATTTTTTGGATGAATTTGAGAAGGATAGGTGTTAATTCTTCTCTAAATGTTTGATAGAATTCACCTGTGAAGCCATCTGGTTCTGGACTTTTGTTTGTTGGGAGTTTTTTAACCACAGTTTCAATTTCATTACTTGTGATCGGTCTGTTCATATTTTCTATTTCTTCCTGGTTCAGTCTTAGAAGTTTCTAAGAATTTGTCCATTTCTTCCAGGTTGTCCATTTTATTGGCATAGAGTTGCTTGTAGTAGTCTCTTATGATGCTTTGTATTTCTGGGGTGTCCGTTGTAACTTCTTTTTCATTTCTAATTTTATTGATTTGAGTCTTCTCCATCTTTTTCTTGATGAGTCTGGCTAAGATGAGAAGACTCATCTTCTCAAAGAACCAGCTTTTAGTTTTATTGATCTTTGCTATTGTTTCCTTCGTTTCTATTTCATTTATTTCTGCTCTGATCTTTATGATTTCTTTCCTTCTACTAACTTTGGGTTTTGTTTGTTCTTCTTTCTCTAGCTCCTTTAGCTGTAAGGTTAAATTGTTTATTTGAGATTTTTCTTGTTTCTTGAGGTAGGATTGTATTGCTATAACCTTCCCTCCTAGAACTGCTTTTGCCGTGGCCCATAGGTTTTTGATAGTTGTGTTTTCTTTGTCATTTGTCTCTAGGTATTTTTTGATTTCCTCTTTGATTTCTCCCATGGTTTCTAGGTTATTTAGTAATGTATTGTTTAGCCTCCATGTGGTTTTTTTTTACATTTTTTTCCCTGTAATTGATTTCTAATCTCATAGTGTTGTGGTTGGAAAAGACGCTTGATATGATTTCAATTTTCTTAAATTTACTGAGGCTTGATTTATGACCCAGGATGTGATCTATCCTGGAGGATGTTCCATGTGCACTTGAGAAGAAAGTGTAATCTGCTGTTTTCGAATGGAATGTCCTATAAATAGCAATTAAATCTATCTGGTCTATTGTGTCATTTAAAGCTTGTGTTTCCTTATTAATTTTCTGCCTAGTTGATCTGTCAGGTAAGTCAGTTTCCTTATTAATTTTCTGCCTAGTTGATCTGGTGTAAGTCAGGTGTTAAAGTCCCCCACTATTGTTGTGCTACTGTTGATATCCTCTTTTTTTTTTTTTTTTTTTTTTTTGCGGTACTCAGGCCTCTCACTGTTGTGGCCTCTCCAATTGTGGAGCACAGGCTCTGGACGCGCAGGCTCAGCGGCCATGGCTTACGTGCCCAGCCACTCCATGGCACGTGGGATCTTCCCGGACCGGAGCACGAACCCGCATCCCCTGCATTGGTAGACAGACTCTCAACCACTGTGCCACCAGGGAAGCCCCAGATTTCCTCTTTTTTAGGTGTTAGCATTTGCTTTATGTATTGTGGTGCTCCTATGTTGGGTACATGTATATTTATAAATGTTATATCTTCTTCTTGGATTGGTTCCTTGATCATTATATAGTATCTTTCTTTGTCTTTTGTAATAGTCATTATTTTAAAGTCTATTTTATCTGATATGAGTATTGCTTCTCCAGTTTTCTTTTGATTTCCATTTGCATGGAATATCTTTTTCCATCCCCTCACTTTCAGTCTGTATGTGTCCCTAGGTCTGAAGTGGGTCTCTTTTAGACAGCATATATATGGGTCTTGTTTTTGTATCCATTCAGCGAGCCTGTGTCTTTTTGGTTGCAGTATTTAATCCATTTACATTTAAGGTAATTATTGATATGTATGTTCCTATTACCATTTTCTAAATTGGTAGAAAATTAAGAAAATTTTCGGGTTTGTTTCGGGTTTGTTTCGGGTTTTGGGTTTGTTTTTGTAGGTCTTTTTCTTCTCTTGTGTTTCCCACTTAGAGAAGTTCCTTTAGCATTTGTTGTAGAGCTGGTTCGGTGGTGCTGAATTCTCTTAGCTTTTGTTTGTCTTTAAAGCTTTTGATTTCTCCATCAAATCTGAATGAGATCTTTGCTGGGTGGAGTAATCTTGGTTGTAGGTTCTTCCCTTTCATCACTTTAAATATATCATGCCACGCCCTTCTGGCTTGTAGAGTTTCTGCTGAGAAATCAGCTGTTAACCTTATGGGAGTTCCCTTGTATGTTATTTGTCGGTTTTCCCTCGTTGCTTTTAATAATTTTTCTTTGTCTTTATTTTTTGTCAATTTGATTACTATGTGTCTTGGTGTGTTTCTCCTTGGGTTTATCCTGCCTGGGACTCTCTGTGCTTCCTGGACTTGGGTGGCTATTTCCTTTCCCATGTTAGGGAAATTTTCAACTATAATCTCTTCAAATATTTTCTCGGGTCCTTTCTCTCTCTCTTCTCCTTCTACGACCCCTATAATGTGAATGTTGGTGTGTTTAATGTTGTCCCAGAAGTCTCTTAGGCTGTCTTCATTTCTTTTCATTCTTTTTTCTTTATTCTCTCTTGCAGCCTGAATTCCACCATTCTGTCTTCCAGGTCACTTATCCGTTGTTCTGCCTCAGTTATTCTGTTATTGATTCCTTTCAGTGTATTTTTCATTTGCGTTATTGTATTGTTCATCTGTTTGTTTGTTCTTTAATTTTTCTGGGTGTTTTTTCTTTAATTCTTCTAGGTCTTTGTCAAACATTTCTTGCATCTTCTCGACCTTTGCCTCCATTCTTTTTCTGAGGTCCTGGGTCATCTTTACTCTCATTATTCTGAATTCTTTCTCTGTAAGGTTGCCTATCTCCAGTTCATTTAGTTGTTTTTCTGGAGTTTTATCTTGTTCCTTCATCTGGTACATAGCTCTCTGTCTTTTCTTCTTGTCTATTTTTCTGTGAATGTGGTTTTTGTTCCACAGGCTGCAGAACTGTAGTTCTTGCTTCTGCTGTCTGCCCTCTGGTGGATGAGGCTATCTAAGATGCTTGTGCAAGCTTCCTGATGGGAGGGACTGGTGGTGGGCAGAGCTCAGTAAAACTTTAATCTGCTTGTCTGCTGATGGGTGGGGCTGAGTTCCTTCCCTGTTGGTTGTTTGTCCTGCAGTGACCCAGCGCAGAGCCCACAGTCTCCTTGGTGGGGCTAATGGCAGACTCCGGGAGGGCTCACACCAAGGAATACTTCCTAGAACTTCTGCTGCCAGTGTCCTTGTCCCCGCCGTGAACCACAGCTGCCCCCTGCCTCTGCAGGAGACCCTCCAACACTAGCAGGTAGGTCTGGTTCAATCCCCTCTGGGGTCACTGTTCCTTCCCCCTGAGTTCTGATGTGCATACGACTTTGTGTGTGCCCTCCAAGAGTGGAGTCTCTGTTTCTCCCAGTCCTGTTGAAGTCCTGCAATCAAATCCCTTGAGCCTTCAAAGTCTGATTCTCTGGGGATTCCTCCTCCTGTTGCTGGACCCCCAGGTTGGGAAGCCTGACATGGGGCTCAGAACCTTCACTCCAATGGGTGGACTTCTGTGGTATAATTGTTCTCCAGTTTGTGAGTCACCCACCCAGCGGTTATGGGATTTGATTTTACTGTGATTGTGTCCCTCCTACCATCTCAGTGCAGCTTCTCCTTTGTCTCTGGATGTGGGGTATCTTTTTTGGTGAGTTCTAGTGCCTTCCTGTCGATGATTGTTCAGCAGTTAGTTGTGATTCTGGTGCTCTCGCAAGAGGGAGTGAATGAACGTCCTTCTACTACGCCATCTTGAACCAACTCCGAAAAAGATTTTTTTAATAGTACAATTTATTGAGCACTGCCTATGTGCCCTGCAGTGTGTTAAGCATTATAATCCTCACAGGAATCCTGCCTGGTGTGAGTACTGGCCACTTTAAGCATTCGGCCCAGAAATGGTAAGGGGATTTCTCTTAACCACTAAGAAAATATTTCTCAAAGGGTGTTTCAAGAAATAGCAGTTCTGCAGGTGTTGTCTGCAAAAAGAGCTTGTGGTGAAGTAAGTTTGGAGGGTGTTTAAAGGGGTTCCGTGTATCCCTTTACTGCAGGATTAGTATGCCAGTGTGCACTGTGAATTCCCAAACGGTAGAAGTAAGGGAAGGGGATAGAGTAGGCAAAAGTTCTCAAACTTACTTGATCACAGATATTTTTGGGGGGGGAGGAGAAGAATGTTACAGGAGCTTTGGAAACACTTCCTTCTGCCATTTAAGCAAGGACCCTTCCTGGGACAGTTTTCTGGCTGCAGTGCTAGGCTGTGCAGGGAAGCAGTAAGAAAGCCAACAGTTAATTTGGGGTTGGGCTATTGAGGGCTTTGAACACGAGGCAAAAGATGATGAACACAGGACACTGACGTTGAAAGTACTCTGAGACTTATGGACACAATGACTTGGAGGGGAGAGGTAGGGCTTTAATTAGGAAGCTTCACTGTGGTCTTGGGGTGAGTCAAAAAGGCCCCAAGCTGAAGACTATATCATAGTGAGGGCATAATTTATAGCATTTGAGCTGGAGAGTCTAAGATATCAAGTCAATAATCACTTTCTAAGAAATGTTTCACTTTTAATTTCAAAAGTCACGCAGGTCCTGTTATATCTTAAGTTACTACGTTGGTGATTTTTTATTTTGAGGCTTGACTGTTTTCATTACCATTTAACCTATTCTCAAAGTCACCAGTTATCTTACGAAATGGGCCCATGAGCTTGTTGCAGAGCTCCCATCCCCTGGGCAGAGATGGTGGTTTTAAATGTAGTAGAGCAGATAGAAAAGGGGTCAGGAGGATTTGGGGCAAATCTTGCCTTATTGCCCACACTGAAGAGCACAGGCGTTTGGTGGCCAGGATGAGGGACACCTGTGCAGGGTTCCTGTGGCTTTTCCTGAGGTGACTCTTAATTAGCAAACTCACCTTCCGAGCTGCTGGGTTACAAATTTGGCCCTCTGGGAAGGTTATGAAGAATAGAACTCATGGTTTGTAGTGGGAAAAAAATTAGCCTGGTGGGAGGAATGGAGGATTTGGGGGCAGAAGTTCTGGACCTCAGACCTGGATTTTCTGCTTCCTGGCCATGTGGCCTTGGGCAAATCTTTTCGCATTTCCCAGTTTCTCCCACCTGTGAAATGGGATTAATGGTTCCTGTCCTGCCTCTTTTACACATTCACTAGAATAAGATGAGGCAACATCTGTGCCAGGGCTCTCTCCTTTTCCATGTTACAGTTAACCTCTTGATTGATTCTAAACCTTTTCTTTCTCCCTCTTTTCTTTTGGGCAGTTAAGTGCCTGTAAGTTAGTTACTAACGATGATGGTATCCAGTCCTCAATAAATGTTGGCTGGCATTAATTATGTTCTAGGAGCTGAGGGAAGAACTACCATGTTGGCTTGTGGGACAATTGTTAGTTTCTTCGTCTGTGAGTCTGGGCCAGTGAATCTCGGGGATGTTAGGCTGCCTGCTATGGGTCACACAAGTGAAAGTCAAGCCCAGAGCATGCTGACCCCAGAGACTGAAATTTTGACCCTGTTATTGGCTTTATTGTGCCAGACCTGACTGTATGAAGGCAACTTAGGGTATGAGAAGGAGCTAAAGCAATGATCCCATACCCCACCTAGGGGCCAAGTGGATAAGCCAATTGGGACTCCTCTTTTTTTTTTTTCTATTTTTTTCCTTTTTAAAAAAATTATGGTATAGTTGATTTACCACATTATATAAGTTTCAGGTGTACAACATAGTGATTCACAATTTTTAAAGGTTATGCTCCATTTATAATTATTATAAAGTATTGGCTATATTCTCTGTGTTGTACAATATATTCTTATAGCTTTATTTAAACATAATAGTTTGAACCTCCTAATTACTTACCCCTAAATTGCCCCTCCCCCTTCCCTCTCCCCAGTGGTAACCACTAATTTGTTCTCCATATCTGTGAGTCTGTTTCTTTTTGTTATACTCACTAATTTCTTTTCTTTTTTAGATTCCACATATAAGTGATATCATACAGTATTTGTCTTTCTCTGTCTGACTTATTTCACTTAGCATAATATCCTCCAAGTCCATCCATGTTGTTGCAAATGGCAAGGTTTCATTCTTTTTTATGGCTGAGTAGTATTCCATTATATATATATATATATATATATATATATATCCCACATCTTCTTTATCCATTCATTTGTTGATGGACACTTACATTGTCCCAATACCTTGGGTATTGTAAATAGTGCTGCTATGGACATTGGACTACATATATCTTTTTGAATTAATGTTTTCGTTTTCTTCAGATATATACCCTGGCGTGAGATTGCTGGATCATATGGTAGTTCTATTTTTAGTTTTTTGAGGAAGCTCCACACTATTTTCCACAGTGGCTGCACCAACTTACATTCCCACCAACAGTGGGAATTCCTCGCCAACATTTGTTATTTGTGGTCTTTTTGATGATGGCCAGTCTGATAGGTGTGAGGTGACATCTCATTGTGATTTTGATTTGCATTTCTCGGATGATTAGCGATGTTGAGCATCTTTTCACATGCCCGTTGGCTATCTGTATGTCTTCTTTGGTAAAATGTCTATTCAGATCTTCTGCCAATTTTTTAGTCGGGTTGTTTGTTTTTGAGCTGTTTATGTATTTTAGATATTAATCCCTTATCAGTCACATCATTTGCAAATATTTTCTACCACTCAGTAGGTTGTCTTTTTGTCTTGTTATTGATTTCCTTTGCTGTGCAAAAGCTTTTAAGTTTAATTAGGTCCCATTTGTTCATTTTTGCTTTTGTTTCCTTTGCCTTAGGAGACAGATCCCCCCAAAATATTGCTACTATTTATGCAATTGGGACTCCTGTTTATCACACCATTCTCTGTTCCAAGTCATGTCACCAGCTTATTCTTAGGAAAGTCACATGGGGGCGGGCCTAAGTCTGAGTTTTCTGCTAAGGGTGAAAGCTCAGAAGACCAAGGCATAGTGGGCTGAAAAAGCTGCTTTGCTGCTTTTCACCTTTAGGAAAAGTTTCTAGGGGTCTGTTTTTGAAACCATTGGAAAACCCTGCAATCCCTGGGGAGGTGGAGCAGGACTCTGCACCTGGCATGGAGGTTTAGAAGGACAGAAATGGAACAATGAATTGGAAGTTGCTGAGTCCAGCTGGCAGCTCCAAGGCTTCTTTTTGCCCAAGAAACAGTACAAGAGATAGTCCAGAGGGGGCCTGGAGCTTACCTCTGCCAGTTAGGGCCTTGTATTGGGGTAACTCTGTCTTGCTCCCATATATTAAAAAATTCCTTCTTGGGGAGAAGCACTTTCCTAATTTAGATTTTTTTAAACATCTTTATTGGAGTATAATTGCTTTACATTGTTTTGTTAGTTTCTGTTGTATAACAAAGTGAATCATCTATATGTATATATATATATTCCCATATCCCCTCCCTCTTGCGTCCTAATTTAGATTTTGTAATAATAAGGAAATCTCTCAGTTGAGGCTGCAGATATTAGGAGAGTGAACAGACTGACCCAATTTATTTCTTAAAAAGGTTGCAAAGATGAAATTGATGGAATGAACAGCCCAATTGTCTCAGTCCAATTTCCAAGTTTTTGTTTTTTATTAAAAAGCGAGAGAGGAGAAATGTGGTTAGATATTAAAAAACAAAACAAAACTGAAGCCCTAAATTTACTAAGTCCAAAATCAAAATAGAAGATAAATGAGCAATGACCTCCAGGCTGGAATGATCCCACCTAGATGGAGGGAGAAGTGAGCCACAGAGGTCAGTGTCCAAGTTGTGAGCTGGGCTCACCCCTCCTGCCACCTGCTGTGTGAGGTCTCTTGTGCCTGGGGGGATGTGTGAGGTAGTATTTTATATGGGGGGAGAGGAGGAGGAGCTGAGAATGTGCTAGTTCAGCATTTCTCAGTTTGATCTTCATAATATTCCACTATCTTGCTGTTTACAGGTATTCTTTTTTTTTTTTCTTTCTCAGATGTTGAACCATCTTTGCATCCCTGGAATAAATATCACTTGATCATGCTTTATGATCCTTTTATTTATTTATTTATTTTTTACATCTTTATTGGAGTATAATTGCTTTACAATGGTGTGTTAGTTTCTGCTTTATAACAAAGTGAATCAGTTATACATATACATATGTTCCCATATCTCTTCCCTCTTGCGTCTCCCTCCCTCCCACCCTCCCTATCCCACCCCTCCAGGCGGTCACAAAGCACGGAGCTGATCTCCCTGTGCTATGTGGCTGCTTCCCACTAGCTATCTACCTTACGTTTGGTAGTGTGTATATGTCCATGCCACTCTCTCACTTTGTCACAGCTTACCCTTCCCCCTCCCCATATCCTCAAGTCCATTCTCTAGTAGGTCTGTGTCTTTATTCCTGTCTTACCGCTATGTTCTTCATGACATTTTTTTTTTCTTAAATTCCATATATATGTGTTAGCATATGGTATTTGTCTTTCTCTTTCTGGCTTACAGAAAGAGAAAGAGTCTGTATGAGAGACTCTGTATGAGAGTCTGTATGAGAGTCTGTATGAGAGAGTCTGTATGAGAAAGAGTCTGTATGACAGACTCTAGGTCTATCCTCCTTATTACAAATAGCTCAATTTCGTTTCCTTTTATGGCTGAGTAATATTCCATTGTATATATGTGCCACATCTTCTTTATCCATTCATCCGATGATGGACACTTAGGTTGTTTCCATCTCAGGGCTATTGTAAATAGAGCTGCAATGAACGTTTTGGTACATGACTCTTTTTGAATTATGGTTTTCTCAGGGTATATGCCCAGTAGTGGGATTGCTGGGTCATATGGTAGTTCTATTTGTAGTTTTTTAAGGAACCTCCATACTGTACAGGTATTCTTTGTAGCAAAAAATAGGTAAGTAAATTTGAACACGCCTTTCGGATATTAATGACTCTGAGAGGTCCCACAGAAAAGTGCTTGTAAAACTCCCAGAGAAGGATGTATGCAGCGTTTCCACTAGCTCTTTTTCAGAATTCCTGTCAACACGTTCCAGCACATCAGTGTCACTAACAGCAGCAGAAAGCATGAAATCACTGGCCAGCATTTACTGAACACTTACTATGTGCCTGGTACCGTGCTAAGCATTTTCCTCTCTTTTCTCACTAAGCCTTTGAGATAATGTGAGGATTGTTTCCAGAGGTAACAATGGTACCTACCTGCAGGACTGTTAAGAAATTTCTCCAAGATTACACAGCTGATGATGTCCCAAGATCTGAACTCAGAAAATAGTGCCTGGCATTTGGCTGTGCCATACGACCCCAGCTATCAGACTCTAAACCCTCATTTCCTGAGGTCACTTGGGCAAGAGTCCCTTCCTTACAGCCTGACAGAGCAGCTAACTTTCTGCATGTGGTCATTATTCCCTGGGGGGATGTTATAGCCGAGGGCCCTTGGGACCAGTAGCCACACACAAGTCGTCACTGAGCCCGAGCCCTGTTCTACTCTAGCCCTGATGGTGTTGCTGTGGGTTGGCAAGAGGGGAAATGTTGAGACAGGCTGGGATCTGGGACCCTTTGCTGCAGCTGCAGTGCTTGCACCTGGACAAATGTCTCCTTGAGCAAAAAAATACAAAGAAAGTATAAAGGACTAAAAATAACTGCATGCATGCACAGTTGGAGCAAATTTTGGACAAGATACAAAAATACCAAACCCCACCGCCCCCCACAAAAAAACAAAAAAATCCAATCCAACTGCCACTTCTGAAGAGCCGGGAGCAAAAACTGGGTGTCAGGAGCAAAAGCAGGGTACTGCTCATGCCCCCTGCACACAGCACCAGCAAAGGGGTGGGCAAAACACCTAAGCCACCCCTTGGGCCTGACCCCTGGACACGCTCCTATCCTCACCCCATATAAGGAACCAGCTCGCATCCTGTCGAGGAGCAAGCAAAGAAACCTGTTATTTGTTTTGGCTCCCCGCTGCTACAGCAGGGGCCTCAATAAAGCCTTGCCTGAATCTCTTATCTGGCCTCTAATCAATTTCTATTGATTGGGAAGGCCAAGAACCCTGGTCAGTATCAATATGGCTGTAAATTCAACCATCTTTAGTAACAAGGAGCCCTTTTCTGGCTTGCAGAAGACATCCAAGATGGTTGGGAAGTTTGCTGGTCTAGCTACGGAGTTCCCTAGAAGAGTTCTTGTTGCCAAGCCCCACCCAAGGTCAGAGACCCACTTCACAAGGGCTGTTTGGGGTAAGCCAGGGGGAAAATAACAACACCTTTGAAGAGTGCTGAACTTGGCTTTAATTGAGCTCTTCCTGTTGATTAGAATCTATTTGCATTCATTTTCCAGCAGAATGAAAATGCTTCTCTGCTTCCTCAGATGGCACAGAGCATGAGAGGAGGGCTGCATGTGCTGCTGAGGATGCTGTTTGGGCAAAATTAGCCAAGGTACATTAGGCAAAGGAAGAAAGGACCTGAGACCTTGGGAGGCTCGTAGGTCCTCTCCTCTTGGAGGCAGTGGTCTTGGTGGGTTGGTTAGCACTAGCAGGGTGGAGTGGGTACGAAGAGAGAGACTGTTTGGGAAGATGAAAGGCTGTTTTGTAGTGGTACATCTGCTCCCATCAAAGTGCTCAGAAAGCTTTTGAAAACATTAGCTCACTAAGTCTCCCTGTCTTGGTCTCCTTGACTGGAAAGCCACTCTCCCAGGCCCCATTAGGCAGCCCATCTCGAGGTGGTGGTCATTCTTTATTACTGTGGGCCGTGGCTATGGTGCCACAGGTCTGGCGGGGTTCTGACTCCAGAGAGTTTTTGAAATCCCTCATTCCCAAGGGATGTATTTTTAAATTCTCCAGGAGTGTTTTTGAGTTCAAGGTTGGTTGTTTGCTTGTTTACTTGGCCATCACTAATGAGTTGCTTGAACATTGCACTGAACCTTGAGCATGGCTCCAAACCCATCTTCTAAGTGTTTTCTCTACATTTGATCTCCCCATTGTCTCTGCGTGGATTTGAGAAGAAGATGGGAAGGAGAAGACAGTCTGCGCTCTGTGTCGTCACCTGCTGAGACTGCTTTCTTGAATGAGTGGTCACGCATGAGATCCTGTGCAGTACCCTCCCCCAGAATCAGCATGGTTGTCTCCACATGTGTGTTAAGATCACATGGTAAAATGCCCTGATTTTGCTAAGGGGAAGTATCCCTCCCTCTCACATTGGATGCTGCCTTGGATGGTCATTGTTGGCTTCCTGTTCTTTTCTGGCCAAGAGGTAGACTGGTGATGCAAGCTCAGGTTATAAAACACAACCTGGACTTTTTTTCTGACAGTTTTTCAAACATTGTTATTATCATGTTAAAGATAAGCTGTATTCCAAAATGTGTAGCTACATTCCAAATCATGTCAAGGATTTTACTTTGTTAATTTGGATGAGATCATGGGTTGTGGGCATAATTCAAAGTGTCTGGACTTCTAGGACCAGATGTGGTCTGAGATTGATGTATACAAGGACATCGGAAACAAAAAATTAAATTGCAACAAAAGAAATGAAGATGCAAAGTAATGAGTGTTTTACTGTGTGAAAAGGCACATATGCAGAAAAGAGTCATAGTGCTTCCTCTGTGGAGGGCTCAGCCCTATAAAACAGAGTCCATTGTTGGTCTGTGGAAATGTCCCCAGAGTCAGGCCAGGAAGGCGGCATTGCTTCTCGACCTGCTTCTGAGGTAGGGGACCTTGAGTTATTCCTGGTCCTGCCAAGTTGTCTGGGCCCAACCACTTAACTTTTTTCTATAAAATGGGAATATCATTGGCCTCTTTCCTGTGAGTTTGGGAAGCCCTTCCTAGAGATTGCTACACACACCCAGCCAAACTCCCAAGAACTTGGTTCCTGAGCAGAGTGGCTGAAGAATGAAGATGGTGGGAATTTGCTCATTCCAAGGGTGGTGCTTAATCCAGGTCCCTGCTCCTGGATCTCTGGGGCTGCTCTGGTTCTGTCCCTCAGGCAGCTCTGTCTTAGCCAACAGAAAGGAGTTTCCTGGAAGGCTATGTGGTAGGAGGTCCAAAGACTCGGAACCTGTTTCTGCTGCATGTAGTCACTGGCGCACTTTCTCTTGATACCCTCTTTCTTGCTGGTTACATCTATGCACACAACTTCAAATATAATCTTTATGCAGAAAGCTTGGAGCCGTGTCTCCAGCTCTGAACTTTCTCCTAGCACAGCAGGAAGAATAGCTCTGCAGGGATGTGATGTTATTAGCAAAAGAACCAAATTCCCACTGCCCTGAGAGCCTACCTTCCTGTCCTAGCCACCCATCTCCTGGCTCCCTCTGTCCTAATCCCATCCATTCTGTCCTGAACTATCTCGTGCAGGCCTCCCATCCAGGCCCACTGCTGTTGCCTTGGTTCAGGCTTCCTTTATCTCTTGCCTGTTGCTTCCCTCCGCTAACTGGTCCCTGCACTGCTAGGCAAAGTCATACAAGCTCAAAAGCCTTCAGGGGCCAGGCAGGTCATGCATGTGTGTGAAGTAAAAGGGCTTGTTGGGAACGGGGGTGCTGACTGGCTATCTTTAGACAGGGTTTTGTGGGCTGTTTCCAGTTTTCAGTCTGCTGTCTCCAGTCTTTAGCCTTAGGGTTGTCCAGGTCCGCTCATCATGCCTTGTGTCCTGCTCTAGTCTTCAGGTGCCATATAAGGATGAAGGTCCACAAAGCCTCTTACAGTATACCCATGCAGCTGGAGTGCTGGGGACTTGGTGGGATCAAATAATGGGAGTGCTTTGGAAAATGTAGGTTTGGGTCAGTTTACTGTTCTCCCAATGTGCCCCTCACATTCCTGCCCTGATGCTGGACTTTGGATTCGGCTGGAACTTGACCTTCTCTAAGAAGGCTTCTCTCTTTCCTATTAAATTAACCTCTCTAAGCCTCCATCTCCTCCTCTGTAAAAAGGGCGTAAAGCTGGGCTTCCCTGGTGGCGCAGTGATTGAGAGTCCACCTGCCGATACAGGGGACGTGGGTTCGTGCCCCAGTCTGGGAAGATCCCACATGTCGCAGAGCAGCTGGGCCCGTGAGCCATGGCCACTGAGCCTGTGCATCCGGAGCCTGTGCTCCGCAATGGGAGAGGCCACGACAGTGAGAGGCCCGCGTACCGCAAAAAAAAAAAAAAAAAAAATGGCGTAAAGCTTCTCTCTCAGAGTTTTTGTGAGCATTACAAGAAGGGTGGCATGTGCACCCTTTATTCTCATCAAACACTGTACAGGTGTAAGGCTTTGTTGTTGAAAGTAATGGTTGGGTGGCCACGAGGTCCAACCTCCCACCCAGGCATTCAGTCAGGACTTCTGACAGTTAACGCTTGAATACTTTATATGGTGGGGAACTCACCATCTCACAAAGCATTCAGCTTCATTGTTGGATGTCTCAAGTTAGAAAGTAGAAACAGTCTCTTTGTGACAGATGTTGAGCGTCTTTTGTTCACCTTGCTCCACTGTCTTCTGTGCTTTGTGTATCCATCATATCAGATCCATTCTGCTTGAAGGGAGGTTTGTGTTTTCTCCTTAGTGCCCTGGAAGCCTCTCCTGGATGGAGAAGGAGTCTGGAGATGTTCTCTATGTGTTTTTCACAGGAAGCTTGTGGGTAGAGAGGAATGCAGGGAAAGGAAGGGGCTGCAGGCTGAGGGGTGGGTGGGTGTTTAGGGTAGGGATGCTAGAGTTGCTGTGGGGTAACAGCCAGCATCCACCAGCTGGCTGGTAGATGTTAGACCAGCACATCATTCCTCTTTGCTAGGCTCTTGGGCTGCTGAGGGGAAGCCATTCATTTCCCGATCTGGCCAGCCTAGTTTCAAATCTGCCCTGGCTGCCCTGCCTCTGTTGGAATCTAGGGTAACGTGGGGCAAGGGAATCCAGATCATAATAATCTACTAATATTTTTCTTAGCGCCCTTTCTAGAAATAAGGCCTGTAATTCTATTATCCAGTTGACTAGAGGGGAAAATTGATTTCAGGGGTTTAATTAATGTGACTTCCAAAAGCAAGTGATCTGGAGAGAAGGCAACTATTTAGTCTTAAGAAGGGTCTCTCCCCCAGAATTGTATTAAGAAACTCATGAGATAAAGATAAAAACAAATTCTAGCCCAGAGGGTCCTAGGAGAGCAATTTGTTCTTCTGTTCAGGTGACTTCCCTGGAGTGGAAAGAATTGAAGTCAGCATCAAACTCAAGGTAAGACGCTCAGAGACTGCAAACTGGTAGCCCACAGACGGGCTTTGTTTGATCTGCAGTGTTTTTTAAAAAATCCAATTGAGGACCAAGAGAAAAAAGGTCATAGGAGTTTACATAAAAATCAGAATTTCCATTTTCTTCTAAAAACCTGGAGGACATGGCATCTGGGCCCCAGTCTGGCATGTTGGGAGCTGAGAGGCAGGGGTCCCTCGGTCTGGTGCGGGTTCCTCTCACCCCGCTGTCTCCAGGATGAGGAGGTGGTCAGGTGTGAGACGTGCTACCTGTAGGAACTGGAGCTGAGACTGCACTTCACAGCTTCCCTGCTCATCTGAGTCCTGATGGGAAGATTTTAAGTGTGGCCCATCAGGACTAAACTCTGGTGGAAATTCCTCGTTTAATTATTCCCAAGGCAGGAGACATGGAGAACAGAAGTGCCACAGAGAAATTAAAACAACATACAAGATATTCTTTTCGTGTGAAATGGAAAATTGTGTTTGGGTTTACTCTTTTGTTCTCAAGGCGAGACTCAAAGAAAATAATTTTTGTTGTTATTATTGTTTTTAAGAGCCCTTTAAGAGAATAGCAGCTTAGCAGCAGTTTGGGAATAGCAAGCTAGCGGATTGTTCTTCCATTAACTGTGTCATCAGTGACAGACTGGGTTGTTTCTTCCCCTAATGACGCACACTCGGGGCCTTTAGCCAGTTAATGTCAGTAGCAGGAGAATTACTGGTTAGATACTGGAAAGCCTTGTTTATTGTGCCCAGATGCAGACAGACCCTCAATCACTGGGTCAGTGGTGGCTCAGGGATACTGCGGTTGTGGTTGAACATCCCTAATGTTTGAGTTTCCTAACTAGGTTTGGATATCTTTGAATAAGTCCTTTATGTCAAAGAGCTAAGTGAATTTAGACCTTTAGAACAACTAAAGTGGTTCAGTGAAAGCATCTAACATGTCCAATTAGCCTTCTTCAGAATTGAATTATAAGGAACATAATGAAAAAAATTTCAAAATGGAAGTAGTCTCATTGTACAGAACTTTCTCATAAAAACTTGAAATTTGGGACCTTCCTAGTGGTCCAGTGGGTAAGACTGCACGCTCCCGATGCAGTGGGCCCAGGTTCGATCCCTGGTCAGGGAACTAGATCCCACATGCCTCAACTAAGAGTTCGCATGCTGCAACAAAAAGCCCGCATGCCACAACTAAGAAGTCTGCATGCCACAACTAAGAAGTCCACATGCTGCAACTATGAGTCCGCATGCTGCAACTAAAAAAAAAGATCCTACGTGCCACAGCGAAGATCCCGTGTGCCACAACGAAGACCTGGTGCTGCCAACATAAATACATTTTAAAACATTTGAAATTTAATGGATGTTCATAGATATTCATCCATCCAAAACTTATTGAGCACCTACTGTGTGCCAAGCATGACTCTGGGAACTCAGATGTGTGGACAAAGCTGGGACAGAAAGCAAGTCAACTTTGCCCCTACTGACAGGTGAGTACTGTTATTTTGACTGGTCACCAATTATATTTATTAACAACAGATAGGAGCCTAATGTGTTAAAGGACTTACTGCATAGATCTACATCATTGTTTTTATGGTTGCTTAGTATTCCAATAGACGGATGAATCCTAGTTTATTTAGCTACTTTCTGATGTACATTTTGGGCTGTTACAAATCTTCACTATCACAGTATACTTGCCTGATTATTTCCTTAAGACAGGGTTTCTCAACATTGGTACTACTGACACTCTGGCCTGGACAATTCCTTCTTATGGGGGCTGTCCTGTGCATGGTAGAATGCTTAGCAGCTTCCCACTAGATGCTGGTAGCATCTCCCCAGTGTGACAACCCAAAATATCTCCAGACGTTGCCAGATGTTCCTGGGGAAAACTGCCTTTGGTTGAGAACCAACCACTGCCTTAGAATAAATTCCGATAACTAGAAATTCTGGATCAAAGGGGATGAACAGCTCTAAGGTTTTGCTTATGTATCCCAAATTAAGGGCTGTGGGAAATTATACCTCTTGGTGTAGGTATCCTCCTACACTGGTGGAAGTATAATTTTTTTTAAGTTGAGGTGAAATCCACACAACATACAATTATCATTTTAAATTCAGTGACATTAAGTATATTCAAAACAGTGTGCAAACCCCAGTTTTCTCTAGTTTCAAACTTTTTCATTAGCCCCAGAAAAACACTCTATACCCATTAAGTAATCACTCCCTATTCCCTGCCCCCCCCATCCCCATCTGCTTTCTGTCTCTGGACTTGCCTATTCTGGATAAAGCATATCAATGAAATCATGTAATATGTGACCTTTTGTGTCCAAGTTTTTTCATTTAGCATAATGTTTTTGAGGTTCTTCCAAGTTGTAGTGTGTTTCAGTACTTTATTTCTTTTTATGGCTGAATAGTATTACATTGTGTTTATATATCACAATTTGTTTATCCATTTATCTGTTGATGAACATTTGGTTTGCTTTCATCTTTTGTCTATTATGAATCATGCTCCTATAAGGAGTATAAGTTTTTAAAATTTCCACCTATCAGATTGACAAAGATTAAAAACAACATTGAGACATTTTAAATTTCTTTGATGTTATAATGTTATTTGTACCAGTCGCCAACGAATATGTTCAAGGAGAATCAGATTCCTTGATGTGGACAATAGCAGCCATCTCGATGTTTGTCATCAATCAGTGAACCTGGAAATATGTGCTGGGTACTTTCTGTTTGGTCCTGTGCTAAGTGCGGTGGCTGGTGGGATTTTCAAAAGAAGCATAGAGTTGTCTACTAATTTACACCCCCCCCGCCCCGCACGGCCCCTGCCCCCAAGGGATTTATTCTCCCGGATTGCATGGGGGCACGTATTCTGAGTTTGATTTGTTATTAGCTATTGATTATGTACCTCTTGGCTTTTAAACATCTCTCATGAGGCAGATGATCCTCCCGTGAATTATCACAGTGTTTGAAGTTACACAAAGTTCATTTCCTCAAAGTTGCCACACAGAATAGCCTGTGGCCATCACATTTGCAGAATTTTGGGCAGCCATCTTTCCAATATTTACCCTTTATGCATCCGTGGAATTTGCAAGATGCTTTTTAAAAAATATTTTATTTTTTAAAAAAAGAATTTCAGTTTTACTGCTGCAGACGAAAAATCCCTATTAGAGTTAAATGCTGTGTTAAGGATTTAGGAAAATAGGATAAACACCTTGTAGTGGAGTTCACTCTTTCTTTGCTAGTCCACGGTCATATGCTTCAGCATGTGATAATTATAATTTTTAAAATGGAAATATAGTTGATGTACAATATTATGTTAGTTTCAGGTATACTATATAGTGATTTGACATTTACACACATTATGAAATGATTAGCATGATAAATCTAGTAACCATATGTCCCCATCCAAAGTTATTAAAATATTATTGACCATATGCCATATGCTATATATTATATCCCCATGGCTTTTTTATTTTATAACTGGAAGTTTGTTCCTCTTAATCTCCTTCATTTTGCCCAACCCCCAACTCTCTTCTCCTCTGGCAACCACCAGTTTGTTCTCTGTAACTATGAGCCTGTTTTTGTTTTGTTTTGTTTGTTTTGTTTTCTAGATCCCACATATGAGTGAGATCATACAGATTTTTCTTTCTCTGTTTGACTTATTTCACTTAGCGTAATACCCTCTAGATCCATCCATGTTGTTGCAGATGGCAAGACTTGATTTTATTTTTTATGGCTGAGTAATATTCCACTGTGTGTGTGTATATATG